TCGATTTCTCAAAGCAGTCAGCACCAGCTCCATCAGAAGTCACACACAGATTCAGTCAGGGCTTTCCAACTCCTTAGAGAAGGAGAGGATATTGCCCGAGGCATGTGGCTAAGCAGCCTCCCATCCCCTCTGAACAGCAGAAGCCAGAGCAGCTGTCAAAGAGATATCACAGCCTCCAAAGACCATCATTAATTTGACCCTGGAAAGCTGGGCTCTGGATAGATTTTTTTCCCCTCATTTGCTGTATTGTTGCTGGCTATTGGGTCTATATATTGAAACTTCTCACTTGCCCCAGCTCATTCCCCTAGTCCAACCTACCTCATCCCCGCTTCCTCCTCAATTCAATCTCATTTCCATATAGTTCTCTTCTCCCTCTGCTATTTCTTTTCTTACTTTCATAGTCCCATCCTATCTCCCACCTCAGTCCCAATGAGTGACCCTCCCCTCAAAACAAAGACACTAAAATGTAGCTATCACCACTTAGCATCTATGCAAACTGACCCAGCATCCTTTCCTGCACATCTTATCTTTTTAGCTTTTAAGAGTATAAGTGCTTCTGGGCAAGGAGCACGACCTCCATGTTCTCAACCAGAATTTCGACAGATTCGGAGGAGCACATTCTTAACAATCAGGGCAATTAAACATTGGAACAACTGACCAAGGGTTCTGGTGGAATTTCCATCACTCAACAGCTAAATGAAGGGCCTACGGCCATACTGGACCGAAAGCCCCCGATCTTGGAAAGTAAACAGTCCCGGGCCTGGCTAGTACTTGGATGGGTGACCCCCTGGGAATCCCAGGTGCCATAGGCAGCTACACCGTCCCGGGCCGAACCATCTTCGGCAACCTGAGGCCCCTTGGAATGTGGTTGCCAGGGCGACTATGCCTTTCTCAGGGTCATGCTAACTCATGCTAACTGCCTGTCCTGTTAGGTCTACAGGCCTGTTTTAGATCTCAGATTTTAGGGTTGAATAGGGGGTTCTTAGCGAAATACCATGGACGGCCTCAATTTACCACCCTACAGTCAAGGTCAACTGGACCCTGACCGCACCGGTCAACTGGACCCTGACCGCACCAGTCAACTTCAGGCGAGGAGTACATCAAGGCTGTCCGCTGTCAGGCCAGCTGTATACTCTGGCTATAGAGCCCTTCCTCCATCTCCTTCGCAAGAGGTTGACGGGGTTGGTGCTCCGTGAGCCAGAGATGCAGCTGGTCCTGTCGGTACGCCGACGATGTGCTCCTCGTGGTTCAGGACCCGGGTGACCTGGCATGGGTGGAGGCTTGCCAAGCTGCCTACTCATGGGCCTCTTCCACCTGGGTCAACTGGGTCAAGGGCTCTGGCCTGGTGGTGGGGCCGGGTGGCAGGCAAGCTCCCTCCCACCCGTGCTTCAGACCATCAGGTGGAGCGCGGGTCCACTGCTCTATCTCGGCGTTTTTCTCTCTACCACACATCCCTCTTTGCCGGAGAACTAGCAAGGTTTAGAGATCGGCATTGCCCAACGCCGTGCTCCTCGTGGTCCAGGATCTGGGAGACCTGGTGTGGGTGGAGGCCTGCCAAGCCATCTACTTGGCAGCCTCCTCCACCTGGGTCAACAGCTCTGGCCTGGTGGTAGGAGCCAGGTGGCAGGCAAGCTCCCTCCCACCCGCGCTTCAGGCAATCAGGTGGAGCGCGGGTCCACTGCTGTATCTCAGCATTTTTCTCTCTGGCATGCATCCCTCTCAGCCAGAGAACTGGGAAGGTTTAGAGTCCAGGGTGGCTGAGCAGTTGTGGAGATGGATGGGACTTCTCCAATGCCTCTCCTTGCATGGGAGGGCACTGGTGCTTAACCAACTAGTCCCATCCATGCTCTGGCACCGTTTCAGCACCCTGTTCCCAACCCTGGGTTTCCTGGATCAGATCCCGCAGCTGATGCTGCGGTTCTTCTGGCCAGGACTGCATTGGGTCTCTGCAGGGGTTCTCCATCTCCCCCTGGAGGAGGGAGGGCAGGGCCTGACGGGTTCACGGTGATTTAAACACTAGTGTTTCTGCGGAATCACTCTGTCATATGGGCTTTGTGTTTTGTAAAGTAAAGTTAGTTAAGATCATAAGAACGGTCATACTGGGTCAGACCAAAGGTCCATCTAACCCAGTATCCTCTCTCTCGACAGTGGTCAATACCAGATGCCCCAAAGAGAGTCAGAACAGAGAATCATCAAATGATCCCTCTCCTGTCATCCATTTCCAGCCTCTGACAAACAGAGGCTAGGGACACCATTCCTACCAATCTTGCCTAATAGCCATTGATGGAGCTATATTCCATGAATTTATCTAGTACTTTTTTGAACCCTGTTAAAGTCCTGATTTTCACCATGCTCTAGTAAGGAGTTCCACAGGTTGACTGTGGGCTATGTGAAGAAAAACTTCCTTTGTTTTGTTTTAAACCTGCTATCTATTAATGTCATCTGGTGGGCCCCTAGCTCTTATGTTACGAGAAAAAGTAAATCATTATTTCTTACTCACTTTTTCCACATCAATCATAATCTTATAGTCCTCTTTCATATCCCCTCTTAGTCTCCTCTTTTCTAAGCTGAAAAGTCTAAGACTTTTTAATCTCTCCTCATATGAGACCCATTCCAAACCTCTAATCATTTTTGTTTACTTGGCGCGGTTCAACCCCACCCCCAACATGTGCCTCTTCTGTGGCGTAAGAGAGAAGCTGGCGCACATCTACATCGAGTGCACCAGGCTACAACCCCTCTTTCGGCTCCTCCAGAACCTCCTGTTGCGGTTCTGGCTGCACTTTTCCCCCCACTTGTTAATTTATGCACATCCCATCCGTGGCCCCACAAAGTCGCGGGACCTCCTGGTCAACCTCCTCCTGGCTATGACCAAATGGGCAATCTACAAAACCAGGGAGAAGAGGTTGGCCGGGGGAGGGGCCTGCGACTGTGGGGCCTATTTCCGTTCCTGCATCCGCTCACGTATCCGGGCAGAGTTCCAATGGGCAGCGTCCGCTGGCTCTCTCAAGACCTTCGGGGGGCAGTGGGCGCTGTCTGGGGTTCTCTGCTCGGTGTCCCCATCCGGTTCCCTCGTTTTAACCCTTTGACCCTCATACCCGTACCTGTTTTTTCATTATTTGTCCCCAGTAATTAGTTGGAAAAAATAAAAAATTTAAAAAAAAAACAAACAGCTAAATGAAGATGTCTTTATTTAAAAAAAATAAATAAAAATAGGCTCTAATTCAATGACAGCTTCTAGACTTGAACCAGGATTTTAACTGAAGAATGTGTTATGCAGGTGTGTGTTATGTAGGAGGTCAGACCAGATGATCAGACTGGTACCTCCTGGTCTTAAGAAGCTATAAATCTATGACACTGAGTGTTAGGACAGTGCCATAATATAAAAATACAATTCCCTATTTTGCATACACATTTTCAAGTTGTATGTTTGTGATGACTGCCACTATTGCACAAAGCTTCCCATCCATGGAAAAGTCTGGCCCTAATCTTTCCCAGGGTAGGGCAATGCACATGGACATTGTAACGCCCAGACATGCTTTGACTTCCCTATTGGACTGGAATCATTGTTAAGCTCCACAGAGAAATTTGGAGACCAGGGTGAGAATTTTTTAGCCTGGATATGTGGCAGTTGGTTGCCAAAGTTTCAGAACCTGAAAAGAAATCAGCCATGCAGCAACAACATAATAAAGTTTCATGTTTTGAATAAGAAGAGGCCTGATTAGATTGTACGTGCTCTGGGGCAGGGATTGTCTTGGTTGTTACTTGAGTGTACAGCACCTAGCACAACTGGGTCCTTATTTTTGAATGAAGTTCCTCAGCACTATCATACAATAAATAAGCATCGTCCCAGATATATTAAACTGGATTATCAAATGGGGATTTTAGTTTCATCATGGAAAGTTTTTCTCCCACTCCTGATCTTGATTTTCAAAGAAGTACTTTTAAAGTTAGACAATTAAACAGAATTTCCAAGATGATTCTTAGCAGGATACCAGCAACTGAGTTAAACACTAATTAAGCTTCATATTAAAAAAAAAAAATGATAAGAGCAGTTTCTTCATTAAACCCAGCACTTTCATTGCATGTGACTCATCCAAAATGTATTTTTTGGCAGAGTCACATGCATCAGAGATGTGGAGGTCAGAAATACAAAATGCTCTTAAAACTGACTGTCCCCTCCTAATTAGAAGATTTAAAAAAAACGAATCCCATTGTACTCTTATAATTTTATCTTTGACCATAGAAATACTATTGCCCAGAACTGTGGCTTTGTCCAAATGCAACAAAAAGAACTGGCATCAAGGAGCTCCAGCAAAATAAGGAGAGGTGACACAAGCAGCAGAAGTTTCTGTTTCCCCTCAGCCATCAATACTGAACCAAAAAGTATTAAATGAAGTGACCAAAACTGAAGTCAGAATACTGTGAGGACAGGATATAATAAAAACCATAGCAACAAAGAATTGAGAGAGAAAAATCTTGATTAAAATGTGATTCAATTCTGACAATAGTGCACTTAGTCCACAAGGGCATTCTCTGGATGCACTAGGGTCAGAAACCATTACTTTAATAAATAAGATACTATTTTACTGCTTTTTACCCATTAGCAGTGCAGAAGCAGCACAGCTAAGAATGAGAGCAAGACAGTCTGTTTCCTTCTTATCTGTTTGGAACTTAGTAAACAATTCTATTACACCTGGATAGCAATGAGGTAGGTTGCCTGGGTATCACTGACGGGATATTCGGCGTACAGATTTCTTCTGCATCATCACTAGAAACAATATCTAGTTTCACTCTCAGCCTGGAATTTGAATTTTTACAGAGAGGGCAGTTTGAAAACAAAGCAGAAATTTTTTTTTAGTTGTGTATGGAAGTCACAGGAGAGACAATGAATCAGAAACTCCACATTTACTTTTCAGAGAGAAGCCACACTTAAAGATCTATTTATAGGTTCTATTACTTTAGATTTAATCAGATTAATAAACCCATCTGATTGTACTTACGGCTGAGTGAAGTCACGAGTAATGAAGTCTGAACTCTTGAAGAGAAGGAAAATGTCACTGAGGGTTTTACATTTGAGAGAGCTATTCATTGCTATCCAGTAGGCATCCTAAACAAGAAAGAATAATACCATTTGAAATGCACCTTTACATGTGGTAGTAATAACTACCACCCAACTACTGCATAGTATTTTGAAATATAAGTTGACAAGCAGGATTACAAAAATGGACAAATGATTTTAGCAGAAGTTTCTCTTCTCATCACGAACACGTCTCAATGAAGCTATTGTTCTGTGCCCGAACCCATACTGAAATCAGTGCAAATGACTGTAGGAACAATCCTTTCCCTTTAGTATGTACAAAATTTTCTAGGTCCTTTGGGCAGAAACTTCCTTTAGGAATCTGACAGAAGGACTTTGGGATATGCTAACCTTAAGAATTAAATTTTTCGACATGTTAAAACTAAAAAGGACAGAATGAAGAATATGTTTTATATTCCAATAACACAGGAAGTTTAAATAGGCAGTTAGGGTTTTCTTGTTTTGTTTGTTTTTTTGTGCAGAGGTGGGAAATGGAAAGGGGAGATGGGGAGGAAGGGAGAAGGAAATTATAAAAAGATTGATTTTCCTCTAAGGAAACCCCCTCCCACAGAAGTATAGGAATTACTGAGAAACCACAATACTCAAAGGAGGGGCTGTTGTCCATCAGTAAAAATCTTTTTAGATTACTACATTTAAAATAATCCTTACACTATTAATCAGGATTTTAATCTCATAACATTTTGTTTTGTCAAAGACAAGCAATTAAATTAGCTACACATCTCAGAATGGTGTTGGCAAAGGAAAACTAAAGTTCTTGCCAAGTTGTATAGCTTCTGGACCTTGATTCTAGACACTTTTATTTTCTCTGCAAACCACTAATAAGTGCCTGTCAACTGAGGAGAACAGCTGAATGGTTGAGAAGGGCATGCGTACTGTACTTCTTCCCATATAAATTCCAGCTAATGAAGCAGTACTAGGGTGATGCAATGCTGTACTACACCACTCAAGAAAAGGCATGCAACTCGACTGCACCAAAATATACTGCAGTAGCAATCCACTGAGAGCTCTGCTACTGCACCAGCCTCCATCATAGCAGTTACTCTCCTCCCACGTCCAAGACACCCCAAAAATGTATTACAATAAAGTCTGTTAAAACTTTTAGGATTGAATTTGTGTTCTTACCCTTGGAGCACTCCAGTTGAGTTTAGGGAAGATGCTGCCCCCCAGGGAAGTGATAGTTTCTTGAACTTTAAGTGCAAATTCAGGGAATTCTGGTGCCTACATAGAAAACAGAAGATAATTCATGTTTATTTAATCAGGAAAAAGGATCGTTTTAGAAATATAATTAGGGAGCTAAACTTACAATTGAAACAGATTCATATGCAAATCCAGTATTACCACATAAAAGTCATGAGGCAGTTTCCAAAAATGGTAAGATTTTAAATAATTTTGGATTTGTTTTCTAGCACTTGAACTTTTGCAGTTTATGTTTTCAAGCCTTTTTCAAGGCTAGAAACTTACTTGTTTTTTAGTCACAAGACTAATGAGAAAATCATGAGAACTGTCCACATTGCAAGTCAAATGAATAAGTAACTTTAAAGAGAGACAACTATAGGTTAAGTCTGGACTATAGATTATAAGAAAACAGCATTTGGTAAGATCAGATTTTTTTCATACTTGCTTTAGAGATTTCAAGCAAATGGTCTTATAAAAAGACATTCCCTTCAAAAAATTGCAACCCAAATATTGTAGCAGTATGCCAAGCTATGAAAACTAGAACATGAACAACAAAATAAACAAAACTGACTGGTTTAACTTCAGTGTTGAAATGGATACACTGAAAAAAGTACACTAATCAGTTGAATAACAAGATATATGTATCAGATATTAACACCTTACAAAACTAAAAACTTATTACTCACATTTTAATATTCCTCATGTAACATGACAACACCCCTTTATAGAAGTGCAAATCTAAAAACATATATTCTATATACACAATCTCAGATTCCCATCTCCAAGATGTTCTACATTTGACGTTAGTAAGACTTCATGCAGTGTGTCTCCCCCTGATGGAAAACAACTTGCAAGACTAAGGTCTTAAAAAGTTATTCAGTAATACATGTGAGTAACTTGCACCAAGAGAATAAACTGTGCTGGGAATCTTTGGCTTTGAAAAAGAATGTGATGCTTGTTTAAAAATAAGTGATTTGCTGTATAGTAGAACACCAAAAATAGAAAAAAAATCCCTCATGCTGCAAGCACTATTAGTGCTGGTGGGTAGCAGAGAGGAAGGAATAAATCTCTGCCCTTCATAATACTATCAAAGACTTCTAGACATTTGCCAAAGATTTTTCATTCTGAAGAATAAATAAATGATGTCACAGTATGCAGTGTTTAAAGAATACTATTTCCATCAGTGTTTTTATAAAATGCATCTCAAAAATAACATCTGGGTTAAAGCGAAACTAAGAATTTTGTCCTGCCATTCCATTCCCAGATGGCAACTAAAATTTTACACCCACAAGAGTATATTATAATTTCTGAGATTCTTTTTCCAACATCTCCCAAAACAATTTCACACAAAACCACTTAAAAAAAAAAAAAAACACAATACATAAGTGGAATGATGTAAATTGAACTTGGCTTCACGTCCTGAGATTTTACTTACTGCCCTTTTTAGTTTTCAAGAGGAATCATACTTGATGTTTCTCCCTCCCAACTTCTTTCCCCACCACCAAAAAACAACCCCCCTCACTTGAACAAGCAGTTTTCCTTTGGTGACTTTCGCTGAGCAATAGCTGGCAACACGGACACTCTGTCTCTTTTGGGGGATTAATTTTCTTAATTGCAAGTTGATCAGCATGAAGGTGTCGGGAAATGATGGGGCATGCTCAGTGTAAATGGCATCTTGTGAGCATTTAGATGCCAAAATCTAATAGTTTCAACTGAGCACATGCAAACAGAGATTTTCAGAGACTCAGAGAATGCAGCCAAATTCAGGCAGCAAAGGCTGAAGAGTTGAACTAGGACAAAACTGGTCACATTTCATGTCTCTGTTCCAGTGAAGGTTAGAGAGTCTCAAAAATGATTGTATACATTGTGTTTAACAAAAGCAAAATGTATTTGTCCCTAACTTTCTTGTGAGAAATGATTGTGCAGTTTCTGAACTTCTCCACTCTCCCACACCTACACACACAAAAACCAACCTACATTAGACATCTGACATGGAAAATTTCATCACAAACAGTTAAAGTTTGGCAAAGGTCTAAGCAACTGAAAATAGGATACTATAATAGAAAATGTCAGGTATACTTAATGATAGGTATTGCTGCCTGGAGAATCTTAAGTTGTTATTTTTACTGTGAGCTCATAAGGACCCAAACAGGAAATTGGGCTCCATTGTTCTAGGCATCATACTAAAACAAAAAAAAGTCCTTGCTCCAAAGATCACAACCTAGCACAGAATTAGATCATCCTGAACAGTTAGGATAAATAGAAGCTGGTTTCAGTACATCAGTTCCTAAAGAATTAGCTTTGCAAAGACCACCTCTTGCAGAATAGGTACTATGGTAGAAAATCAGAACATGCTGATGTGTCACAAACACCTCATCCCACTCACTCATATTGTGAACAAGTCAGACACGAAATGAAGTCTCTTAAAACCATTTTGCCAGTGTTTTCTTATTCTTGGAACATTCAGTCTGCCTTTATAACCAGGGCTTGCCAAGTGGCAGCGAGCCCCAATCGCCAGCTGAGAGGTTCTGCGCTCTGCGCATGCGCAGATAGCTCTGCGCCAGCTCTTCCGGGTTGTAATCTACTCACCCCGGGCGAGTAGATTACATTATTTGTCGAGCCCTGTTTATAACCATTAGTACAGCATCACTGTCTTGGTCATAGAGTCAGAATTTAAGGGCAGAAGAGACCACTGGATCATCTAGTCCAGGGGTGGGCAATAGTTTTTAATGGGAAGGGGCCACTCCAAGATTTTGGTAAGTGGTCAAAGACTGCACTTGTATGGAGGGAGTATGGGGTCCAGGACGATGGGTAGGGTGAAGAAGGGAGCTTGGGATAGAGCTTGGGGTGCAGGAGAGGGTGTGGGATCTGAGAGGGAGTTAGGGAGGGAGTTATGATCTGGGACAAGGTCTTGGGGTGCAGGGTCCAGGAGCGGATTCTGGCCTGGGGGAGCGGTGTATGAGGGGGTGCAGGGTCTAGGAGGGAGTTGTGACTTGGAGGAGGTGGGGAGAGGGGATACAGAGGGGTTGGGCAGGAGGTGATGATGACCTGGAGAAGGAACTTAGGGGGAGAGAGGGGGTGGACTGCCAGAGCAGGCTCAGGCTGGGAGGCTCCTACATCAGTGGGTCCCTGCCAGCAGCCCTGCAGGAACCTGAGACAGGCTCCATGCCTGTCTGCTGGGCTGGCTGCTCCATGGAGGGTAGGGGAGGGGGAAGTGAGGAGACTTTGCTTGCTGCTCTTGTCTCCAGCAAAGTTTCATAGCTCCTATTGATCAGAAATTGGCCAATAGGAGCTGAGAGATTTTCCTAGGGGATAGAAGCACAGTGCAAAGCCTCCCTGTCCCTCCCCAGCATCCAGAGAAATTAGCAGCCAGCTGTTTCAAGTGGCATGAGCTGCTGTGCAGGAAAGGTCCTGGTGAGGTGGTCGTGGGCCAGATCCGGTCTACTAGATGCCTCTTGCCCACCCCAATCTACTCTGGCCTGCAAAGTACAGGTCACCACCACCCAGCACTCACACATTAAACCCAGCAATTAAAATTAAACTAAAGTACTACAGCTCTCAGGGGACTAAAGTATTGTGTGCCACAGGCAGAAAAAAAGCATGCCTGAGACTCCTGAAATGGCAAAAAATTAAGTAGGATATATCCAAATGAATCTGGCAACTGATCCGTATCCACATGTTGTTGAGAAAGGCAGCAACAGCCCATGTAGAATGACAGGCCAGTACTGGGGAAGCTTGTGTGCCTGTGCTGAATAGTGCATAGCCTGTGGAGAGGGGACTGATTTCTATTGGGCTGTCAATCTGGCCCCTTTCTCCAGGATTCAATTTGATCTTGACTGTCACTAAGTACACATGAGATGTCTGTTTAGGTCCTTTCCATGCCCTTCCCATTCTTGCACAAATGCATTTCTTTGTGAGGTTTATGCAGCTGGCTTTTCTACGTAGCTGAATTGTCTGTCATGCATTTCTTATGTGCTTGTAGTGGCCATGACAGCCACTGTCACATGGCACAATGTAAGGGTCCGAAAGCAGATGAGCCAACTAAAGAAGTTATTTTCATACAGTCTGAAAAAGACAGTTTGCTTTTCACAGGTTATGGGCTTTCTTAAAAGTTTTTCTTTAAAAATACTTTCAAATTTGAGAAGGCAATTCTTCATGTTTAAAAAAATCAGACATTATTTCAACCCATGACAGCCACTGTCACATGGCACAATGTAAGGGTCCGAAAGCAGATGAGCCAACTAAAGAAGTTATTTTCATACAGTCTGAAAAAGACAGTTTGCTTTTCACAGGTTATGGGCTTTCTTAAAAGTTTTTCTTTAAAAATACTTTCAAATTTGAGAAGGCAATTCTTCATGTTTAAAAAAATCAGACATTATTTCAACACTAATTACAATATCATATATATATATATAAAAAAAAAATCCTTACCTTAACTAAAATAGTTATGCTTGCACAAAAAATGCATATAGACCAAACTATATAACTAAGACACTTTCTGTTTGAGAAGAAACAGGTGACCCAGGAGCAGATGGGGTAAACGGAACTGCTTTATTGCTCATGCAAGTTTACCTCGGATATTTAACACAATGTCCGAGTAGCAACAATTTAGCACTAATTACATTCTTTATTTATTTTTAGTATGTTAATTTACATGATTATTACTATTTTTTTAAAACCTTATCATATATATAGTAACCCAATGTTTGAGACTGTGTAATGCTGAAATGCTGGCTGTTCCCTCTGGGTGGCAACGCTGAAATGCTGGCTGTTCCCTCTGGGCGGCACTGTTGCCTGAGTCATGTCCTTCGTCTCCCGCCATGGTGCTTGGCTGACTTCTGCGCCGCTCATCCGGGCCGCCGTGGGGAAGCAAGCGGTTGTTTGGGCGCCACGGTCCCCATGCAGCAAGTGGGTGCTGCATGGGGAGCACAGGGCTGAAATGGCTGCTTTCACCACTTGCTCCCCCGCAGCAGCCCGCCTGAGCAGCGCAGAAGTCAGCCGAGTGCCATGGCGGAAGGCGAAGGGGGAGGGGGCCGGGGTGTGTGGCGTGTCAGCGGCTCCAGTCTCCGCCCCCGGCCGTGAATGTCATCGCCCCCCCCCCCTTTGCCTCCCGCTGTG